TAAAATAAAAATTTTAAGAAAGAGTACTTGTTTTAGAGCCTATAGACTGGGTTTGAGACTGTATTCTAGTACTTGCTAGTAATATAAATTTTAAACATTTATCTTCTCTTAGCTCCAGGGTATGTGCTCAGTCATGTCTGACTCTTTACAGCCCCATGGGCTATAGCCCGCCAAGCTCCTCTGTCCATAGGATTTTTCAGGCAAGAATACTGAAGTAGGTTGCCATTTCCTACTCCAGGGGATCTTCCCAATCCAGGGGTCAAACCCACATCTCTTGAACTTCCTGCATTGGCAAGCATCTTCTTTACCACTAGAGACACCTGGGAAGCTCCTGAGCTCCAGTGCCCTCATCTATATAATAGGAATAGAAATAAACAGTATGCAGGATTCTTACTAAAATCAAATTAATCTCCATAGAAGAGATGTATCATAATGCTATTACATATTAAATATATCATCTCATATATAATTTTTTTATGATAAAGCCTTTTTATACCTCCTGCCGCTTTAGGATCCTGCTTTCTCTACTTCTCCCTCTTCACATCATGGAAACAAATTCAAGAATAGTTCATCCTAAAAAAAAAACTGACCTTTAATTTTTTATATCCTTTTCAGTGCTGTCCTAGTTTTCTCGTTTCCTTCATAACTAAATTAATATAGGAATTTTTTATTCAGTAATCTTTTCTCATCTTGTCTTAAATTCTCTATAACTGAATTTTGCTCCCACCGTTTTACTGCAACTGTTTCTTTGTAACATCCTTCCAAGTGAAAATTTTAATGAACTCTTTTCATTCATTATCTGAATTATAAAGCATTTGGCACTATAATCTTTCCTAAAGTACTGTTTCTTTATATATTCTCCTCTCTTCAGATTTTGCAATAAAATAACTCTCCTGGTTCTTCCTGATGCTTCAGATCACTGTTTTTTAATTTCCTTTACTGATTCCTCTTCTTTCCCTACAAAACTGACGTTCCCAGGTTTCACTCTTTTTAAAATTTTTTTCTTTATATTAAATTTTTTTAATGCAAATCATTTTTGACATCTTTATTGAATATGTTACACTATTGCTTCTGTTTTATGTTTTGGTTTTCTGTCTGCAAGGCACATGTTGGAAGGTGAAGTCTTCACCACTGAACCACCAGGGAGGTCCCCCAGATTTCATTCTTATTCACATTTTCTCCTTTGTCTATCTCAGTCACCTATTGGAATTTAAATACTGCTGGTACTGCTGGTCCTCCATCGCAGCATACTCAGCCCCTTAGTCATGTCCAGCTCTTTGCGACCCCACAGACTGTAGCCTGCCAGGCTCCTCCATCGTAGGATTGTCCCAGCAAGAATACTGGAGTGGGTTACCATTTCCTCCTCCAGGGGATTTTCCCGACTCAGAGATACAACCCACATCTCCTGCATTGCAGGCAGATTCTTTCCTCTGAGCTACTGGGGAAACCCCTTCTCTATCTAAGAAAACTCTAAATTTAGAAATGTACCCATTACCTGTTTATTCTGTTAATATACATTTAGTATCTACCATGTGTCAGGCATGGGCTGTAAAAAGGGATTGGAAATATGGCAGTAAACAGCACAAACCAAGACCTTTGCTTTCGTTTTCTTGGATATTTCCTGAGGATTTCAAGTTGAACACATCTAAAACTAAAATAATCCCCTTCTATCTCCTGCAATCTGTTCCCAACTTTGTGTTTTATTTTCTAGTAAACATTAATAATTCTATCCACTTATGTATTCAAATCAGAAATCTGAGAGTAATCTAGACTCTTATCTCATTGACATTTTTCTCACAACCATTAAATCCACTTTTCAGTATGTTACTAAATCCAGTTCCTCATTTTCATCCATAGACACACTTCATGATTACCTGGGCTCTGTATGTATTAAATGGGATAGCTTTATGCCTACTTCATGGGGTTGACAATAAGATTAATCATAGATTCCTTAGTCTCAAAACACTACCTGGTACATGATGCTTATTAAATGTATTAGTCATTATTATTAAATATTAATAATTATTAGCTATTAGAATTGGCATTTGAAATGAAACCTATTACCCTTCCCTGAATAGAACAAAAAGTATTGACCAAAAATCCAAGTCACTTCATCAAAAGTACCGTATGCTAGACAAATTGACTTCTTACATAATGAGTGTGTGTGTATATATATATACATATTAATATATATTCAAAAAATCTGCCTGAACTTCAATGAGGCTTTTTTTTTTTTTTTTAATTTTTATTAGTTGGAGGCTAATTACTTTACATCATTACAGTAGTTTTTGTTATACATTGATATGAATTAGCCATGGATTTACATGTATTCCCCATCCCAGTCCCCCCTCCCACCTCCCTCTCCACCCGATCCCTCTGGGTCTTCC